AGTGTTATTTGCACTACAAATAAGATATGTGCAGTGTGCATAGGAATTCATTCATGTTTCTTTCAAATTATAATCCGGCCCTCCAACAGTTTGAGGGACTGTCACCTGGACCTCTGTTTAAAAAGTTTGAGGACCCCTGGTGTAGACTATATGGCCATGGATTGCATTTACAGAATCCTAAAGTTCGGATGAGATCCCAAAGGCCATCCAATCCAATCCAACCCCATTTTACCATGAAGGAATAACAATCCAAGCACTCGCCACAGATATCTATCCACAACAGCCTTTGTTTAAAAACCTCCAGAGAAGGAGACTCCATCATACTGCACAACAGCAGTGTCAAACACTTCTTATCATCAGAAAGTTTCTCCGAATGTTTAGATGGAATCTCTTTTCTTGGAGTTTGAATCCATCGCTTGATGAGGGATATCACATTTCTATTCAGAGGTCAAAATGACCCTCTGCTCAAGTTTCTCAAAAGAAGACAGAGTAATGTTACATTCAGAGCATGAATATGAAGCCTGATGACCGCCACATTACGAACTACTGTTTCTATCAACCCTAAACACCATAAAGGTAAAGATAAAGGTTTTCTCCTGACATTAAGTCCAGTTGTGTCTGACCCAGGGGGTTGATGCTCATCTCCATTTCTAAGCTGAAGAGCCGGCGTTGTCCGTAGACACCCCCAAGGTCATATGGCCAGCATGACTGCAAGGAGAACCGCTACCTTCCCACCGGAGCGGTACCTATTGCTCTACTCACATCTGCATGATTTCAAACTGCTAGGTTAGCAGAAGCTGGGGCTGACAGCGGAAGCTCGCCATTCCCCGGATTTGAACCTGCAACTTTTCAGTCAACAAGTTTAGCAGCTTAGGCAGCTCCCAACCATCCTAACCAATGGTAAGTAATTACGGGAGCTGTAGTAAAAACAAACAAACATATGGATTGTGTTATGTTAGCCCTTGGGGATCAGGGTTTAAGTATTCACTAGACATTCTTTCACCAAATACTTTCAGCCAAATCACAAGACTGTAAGGGGGGGGGGGGGCATATCTTCCTGTTGTTGTTGTTGTATCTTCCTGTTGTTGTTGTGTGCCTCTAAGTTGTTCTGATGTATGGCAATATGTGGAGAATTGAACCAAATCTTCTATTATTATTATTATTATTATTATTATTATTACGAAAGCTGACTGGCACAACCTGGGGATCACAACCAGACACAGTGAAGACATCTGCCCTTGCACTATGCTAATCTGCTGCTGAGTATGCATGCCCAGTGTGGAACACATCTCATCACACTAGTACAGTAGATGTGGCTCTTAATGAGACATGCCGCATTATCACGGGGTGTCTGCGCCCCACACCACTGGAGAAATTACACTGCTTAGCCAGTATTGCGTCACCTGACATCCGCCGGGAAGTAGCAGCCAATAGTGAAAGTACCAAGGCAGAGACATCTCCAGCTCATCCCCTGTTTGGGTATCAGGCAGCACGTCAACAACTTAAATCTAGAAATAGTTTTCTAAGATCTACAGAGACACTCGCTGGAACACCTCAGCAAGAGAGAGTCCAAAAGTGGCAGGCTAAAACCCAGAACCTCAATCAATGGCTGATACCAAATGAGAGACTCCCCCCTGGGCACACAGAAGATTAGGCAACTTGGAAGGCGCTGAACAGACTGCGCTCTGGCACCACGAGATGCAGAGCCAACCTCAAGAAATGGGGCCACAAAGTGGAATCCACCGCATGCGAGTGTGGAGAAGAGCAAACCACTGACCACCTACTGCAATGCACCCTGAGCCCTGCCACATTCACAATGGAGGACCTTCTTGCAGCAACACCAGAGGCACTCCAAGTGGCCAGATACTGGTCAAAGGATATTTAATCAACTACCAAACTTGCAAATTTTGTGTTTTGTCTGTTTGTTTTGTTCTGTTAGAAATGTAATACAATTGACTGGCTGCCCTGACACGACAAATAAATAAATAAATAAAAATTATTATTATTATTATTATTATTATTATTATTATTATTATTATTATTTCAAACACCACAGGATTACAGGTTTATTTGTTCCTCCAAGGCTGGGAGAGTGTGCCTTGCCCAAGGCCATGGTCAAACTCAGATTTGAACTCCGGTCTCTAGAGTCGCAGCACAAGGCTCAAGCCACTACACCACGCTGACTCGCAGAACCACATCTGCACCTTCAACGAGGCAATAAAATAGAATAAACTGTTTCACATAAAACTGAACAACTGCTTCCCAGCCAAAGACTGAAGGTGATAAATTAGCATAGCAAGACAGGCAGTGTTAACAAACTCCAAGAGGAATGTTCATTTTACGTCCCCAGCTTATGCAAACTTACAAACCTAGAAGCCATCTTTAATCTCAAACAGTCAAATACTGTAAAGTGATACCACAAGCCTTTTTCTGTCTTCTGTATCTCCCCAGTCTCCTCTGACTTTCTTTCACCAAATAGCCTCAAATATCAATTACAGAG